CGCCTACCCTCGGCAAAAAAAAACTTCCCCTGTTCAACCGACCCACGACTTAATCACCCAACTAAGCGTACGATGACATCGAATATGCCCCTCTTCGACCCACTCGCACTTCTTGACTCTCTCTCTTACCAATTTTAGGTTACTAGCTCAAACGACTGACTACAGTGCTTTCATGCCACCTAACATTCCTAGCCTTGTCGTCATCGGCTTAAGTTATTCCATGGCTGCTTGGTTAGTGAGCAGCCCCTTATCGGACCATAATCCCCCATCAATCAATTTGTTATCACATAAAACTGAAGTACGCAGAATGGTCTTAGACCAGCTATCGGCATCTGGAGTACACAATGTATTCCATAGGGAGCAGGACCTCGTCCAAAGTTTACCAGTATTACAACACCCATTCATTCAAAAATTCTAAAGAAAATTCTGCTATTTTTGACACAATCTTAAGATTTCTATTCATTCCTTTTTAAAAACAATAGCCTAGGAGGAAATATATAATCACCACCTTAATAATTAGATTATAAGTGAAAATTCCGTAAATCTCTCATAAATCACCATAAAACCCGCTATTTGAAGTCTTCAACTCTCTATGTAATAAATAGATAAACAATAAATAAATAGATCCTATCCTCCAAATAACACTCTTCAATAAGCACTTCTGCAGTGGGACTTGGCGCTTTACGTGGAGTCCTCCTTCATTTTGGAAAAGTAGACCACTGAACCGGCATCAGTTCGAAGAATACTGAAAAAGATCTTCTAATAATTTTCAAAAATGTTTTTTTTCCTAAAAAGCAGCCTGACCATAGCACTTTATTCTTACTGGTCAGTGCTTCGCTTTGAAATACAAAATTCGAAAAAGTCTGGAAATGCCGTCACGGAGAACTCGGATCCATGAAATGAAGATAGGGTGGTGTTCCAAACTCCAACAGAAGGTATCACCTTACTTTTCTATGGTAAACAGTAGTCGTCTTGTTCGTATATGTTGGCACAATTTAGCGTCATGGTTCGATGCATAGCCAGGACATGAACACGAAGCCGTCCTGCAAGCCCGAGCTTCGACCATACCGGTGTCCTGATACCTGAAAGATCACTTAGGAGCAGTTTTTCTGCTGAAATTACGGTCATAAGAATTTCATTCATGGAATACTGAGGTGAAAAGAAACATGAAAAAGCGCTGAACAATCGGGATGAGTCAATACCTATGGTGACTTATCCGTTGTGATCACCTACGATGCCCCACACTTTCTTCCTAAAGGTCGAATCATGAATTCTTTCCCCAGGCGACTATTCTGATGCTATACGTAGGGGATGAGGTAAGCTTCGAGAATAGTCGTAAGAGTCTCCCTCATTACGACGATATCAAAAGATCAAGATGGAAAAACAGGCTGGGTATGATGTCATCAATATTTTCACGCTCATATGCCATCAAGTAAAGAATTTTAGACCTTTAAACATCTTCTTTCCCTTAATTTATGGTCATTGGATGTCGCTCAGGTGTAAAAGTTTACCGTATTGGACAATACATACTAAGGTAAGCCATGAAGCACATAATTACAAACGACTAATCAGAAGAGCCGCACGTGACAGGATGTTTCGAAGCTTACCCAAGCAACCCATACCACTCCCCTTCGCACCCCGTTCCCCGCGATTCTCTTCCTACGATTTCTATGGAAGCTCTTTACCCACCCCTTCAAAATATTCCACTAGGTACGGTCGAGAATTCCTGAATGTTCAGAGGCTGGAGCTCTGACATCGTAATCCGGCTCCATTTTGGTTCAGTTCATTAGAATGCGATGTTTCTAAATCTGAATGAAGGAACTTCTACACCACTGTCGAGGCCAGGCTCCCTCACCGAACCGTGGGCGGCTGTTGAAAGACCGCTCCGAGACGTATGTATGTAGATAAGGATCTGTCGCGAAATCACATTACGGAATAATATTGCTTTTTCTCTGAGCCCTTTTCAATGTGAGATTGGCCAAATCGCTTTCGCGAGACAAAGAGCAATTAGGGAGCAACATGTGCTGCCGCTCTTCCCCTTTACCTGACACATATGTTGTATAACCCACTTAGTATAGAGTTATTCTAGTTGTTTTTCATGACCCCTTCCACTTTCTGAATCGGTATTCCCCTGACATCTTGCAGCCCACTTTCAAATTGAATGCCTAATCTAGACCTATATTTCCCATGCAACTGACCTATTGTACTGTAAGTAGTCTCAAGCAGCCCTTCGACTTTTCCCAGGGCTCGGTCTGTCCTATTATATCCAATCATTTGCGCTATACAGTACTTCACTGATTACTCGATTTTTTTCTGTCTATTCAATTTCATACAAAACTGAATAACTAGTGATTTCCGAGGGGGTTGCCAATTTGGGTCCGTTTTCAAAATTCAAGCGACTCACTTTCTCAACACTTTACTCACACAGCTATGGGTTATACCAAGCTGTTTTGCAATGTGGATCTTCTTCATTCCATTCTCGAACAATTGCACAATCTTTTGTCGATCGCACGTCAGCAGCGGTCTTCCCGAGATGTACGGACGACCGTAGCGATTGCGCGACGGATACGGTACTGCAAAATGACTACTGTATACCAAAATCCTTTCACTTT